GGAGGCCGAGGAGGCCGAGGAGGCCGAGGATAAAGTGAAGGAGTGACTGGGTCGTTAATAGACTGACTCTGTCTGTCTATGTTTCTCTGTGTGTGTCTGTGTGTGTTTCAGTTGCTGCTCGCCACCATAATCCAAACAGTTTTGTGGAGTTGTTAAGGCCTGTCGTTTGTTGAGCAATTTAGGCCAGATGTCAAGAAGATCAAGATCCAGGCGTGGGTGGACTTTGGAAGTGCAATTTGCAGTTCTTTGCATGTCTTACCTACAGGAAGCCCAGGAGCAGTACCGCGGCCTCTGCAAAGAGATTTTTGGTCATGCCGCTTATCTTGAATTGCGCATGGCTTCTCTGGCAGCCTGTCGGTGCTGTTTGTGTCCTGAGCACTTTTACCACACCTCCGAAGGTCAGCTTGCTTGTTTCGAAACCAGCGCGATAAACTCCTCATGTTGAGCTTGCCTGTGCAAAGTTGTTTGGTTGGACTTTTTCCTTGCCCTGTATGGTTTTCTAGAAGCCCTGAGCTTCATAGCATTTGTCATTACCCAGGAGCCAGTGGCGATTGACGACTCGGACGAGGAGCTCCACGACAAGGGTGTCGAAGCGGACGTCAAGGATGAGAGGGCATTTCTTAGCCCGCAAGCACAAGCAGCACGGCTACGCAAGCGCATTGTTGTTGCCAACATGCACGGTGTCTGTGTCTTTGGCTTCGCTTCCAGCTAAGGAGCCTGGCCAGCAAAAGGCCAAGGCCAAGGCAAAGGCCGCTGATGGCGCCGACCGGCGCCGGGATGAGGCTGCGGCTTCTCGGGAGGGTGCCCGGCCGGCTGACGAGGCGGAGGTTGGGGAAGAGCACGCTCCGAAGGCTGAGACTGGCCGGGCGGCAGTGGGGGCGGATGGCAAGCCGGAAGTGGAGCCGGCTTCGAAGAAGGTTTCTGGCAAAGCGCAAGGCTCGAACTTCGCAGGGAGATCGCCGCCGGGCAACCATCCCTGGTCCACCCGCTTCCGTTGCTGCAAAAACACCTGGGTCGAGATCCTTGGCATTAATGCGTGCAGAGTCGCAGCATTTGCAACACAATAGCTCATCGACATGTCCAACTCAGGAAGATTCACCCTTTGGTCAAGCCCGGTCATTATGTGAAATCCCAGGCTCCGTGGAGTTTTGGTGAGGGGTGATGTGGGTCTCCTATAGCGCTGCCTGCGTGTTTCGCCTGAGCTCCAACTGTGTTTGTTGCTGCGGCCTGGAAGGTCCACTGGTGGAAATATGTTCTCGACAACCTGGACCTGAGCAAGTGCTGCACGGAGGAAGAAATCGAGACCCGTGTGGAGGAGCTCAGCGGTCTCTATGCTGTGCCTTGTGATCAAAAGCTGCTCACGGGGCCGTAGGCTTGCGAAGCTTCAGC